GTGGTTATTACCCTCACTCTCTCTTTCCCATCTTTCTTTCTTCATTCTTCTGCTGCTGACATGCTTAATTTGCAGTTTTTTTGGCTCATGTAGTGAGAGAATTTTTCTTGATTCTTTTCAAGAAATTCACTGCTCTTGTTTTTTCACGATGCTGTTTTCTTATAAAGAAAAGAAAAAAAATGGGTTCCTTTTATGTTCAAAAGGAGATTTACTCCAAATTCATTATTATTGTAAATAGGTCATTTCTTTCTTTGACAGGATTGTCTACTAATAATATAAGTGAGCTAATGATCATATTCTTTTACTTCTAATGAAATTAATAAAAAATCTCTTTCTCTTTAATGATTTAAATGAAAGTAATGGTTTTTAATAAATATAAGAAGTTAAGAATAAGAGAAATCGCTTTATATGGTATAACTTAAAATAATAATAAAATAATTTACTTTTTTTATCTTTATATATATTAGCAGATTAATTATTTATCATTAAAAAAAGGTAAATATTAATTCACTCAAACTTTTATTGGTGTAAAAATAATTTGCTTGTACTGTAGAGTGTAGACCTCACAGTTAAACAATGTATATATATATTGGTGCATTTTTTTTTTCGCTGGCGTTCAAAATAGAGGTCCAAATTTTAATTTCAAAAGCCCAATTCCCAGATTCCCCCGCCACCGCCGCAATGTCCACCGCCCCTCACCCTTCGTCCACCAACACCACAGCCGTAGCCGCAGCCGCAGCCGCAGCCGCAAACTCAGTACAGCTGCCAGCACAATCCCTAACCCCTTTCCCCCCTCACCATCGCCCCTATCCTTTCCCCCTCAGGTCTCCATCCCAACAGCAAAATCAACAGATTCCTCCTCCTTCCAAACAAGACCACTCTCCTCATTCTATTCTCTACCCAGTCGCCTCTTCCGGCAGAGGTTTTATTCCAAAATCCGTTCGCCTCGATCAGGCGGTCACCGTTGCGAGCCCCAACTTGTACTCTGCAAGATCTCTTGTTGCTTATCCCCCTCCTCCTACCCATGTCCACTTCGTGCAGCAGCTCCCTCAAGTTGGTGGGGTTGGCCCGGAAGCAGTTAAAGGGATTCCTATTCCAGTGCACTCAAAGGTAATGGTTCTGAATTTTTTTTTTATTTATTTTTTTTATAAATTTTTTAGGATCATAGTGGTTTTGATTTATTGATGATGATTTCGTCTTCAAGAAATTGCATTGTTTTATTTGTTGAGTTATTGGATAGATTCTTGTTACTATGATTGTACAAGCATATGAGATATAAACTCCATCTATGTCTCGAAAAGGAGCAGAACCGGAAAGGAAACAATATAAGGAATGCATGAAGCCTTGTTGCCAATGGCAGCCTGGATTATAATAAAGTTTTTCATCCTTATTGTGTCCAAATTGTCTGCTATAGTACCTGTCTAGCTTTCAGCAATTTTTTAAGGTTTGCTTATTGTAGGTTGGTCGGTCTTCATCTTCTGTTCCAGAAAATAATGGATATAAAAACATGAGGTACCTTTGTCAACTTTGTATTGTTTCCTATTTACAACTGTAATGTGGTGCATAGTGTTAACTTTTCTGCCTATCTTCTCTTTTTGTAGGGATAGAAACAGAGACGAAAGCCTTATCAATATAAGAAATCGAAAAGTAAGCTGACCTTGTTTCATCTAGATGGGTTTGCACGTTTATTGTCATTGCTTTCTGGTTTCATTCTAGCTGCATTGAGTATTCATCTTATGAGAAAACGTTTTGGCCTGTTTGGTCTGTGTTCTTTTTGGGCAATGCCATGGAACTGTGAGTTTACAGTGGATTTGGTGTGTTCTTTTATTTCTGCTCTTTCTCGTGTTTTCTATTGCAGGTCAGAATAACAAATGGGACTTCTTCTCTTTATGTACTTTGCCGCTCATGGTTGAGAAATGGTTTTCCTGAGGAAAGCCAGGTTTGTATTGTTATCTGAGTGCTTTTAAGTTCTTACTTATGCAATGTAGGATTCCCTTTGGTTTTACATATGAAGCATTTAGGTCACTCATTGGCTGTTTATTCTAAATTTTTTGGCAGCCGCAATATGGAGATATTGCAAAATCTCTCCCACAACCTTTACCAATGCCAGTGACAGATGACCTGCCAAATGAAAGGGAAGGAGTAGAACAGGAAGAGAAGGTTGGTTTTCCTAGTTATGCTGTTCTTATATGTGTGAAGTTGTTCTAGGTTTCTTCTGCTGGATTCCAGTCTTGTCAGCTTCTATTATTTGCTTGAATACTACACAGAAAATATTAGTTTACATATTGGGGGAAAAAAAAAGAGAAGAAAACAACTACAGCTAGATAGAAAGGGCAGATAATGAGAGTGTTAAACGTTTGGTGTGGTAATGGGAGTCTCAGCCTGTTAGCATAGGAGTACAAGTCCCTAGTTTTGAGAGTTTTTGCTGCATGCAATAATGCTAAATGGCAGGGTTATTTCCTAGTCCCATTTTTGTGGGACCAAAACTCAGTGATGGCCTTATAATTGATTAATTTGTTTGTTCTTAATGTCACAGTTCACTTGTATTCAAAAATTGAAGTGAGCATTATGTAGCATATAGAAACTGCACTACCCTCGTCTTTCTTCACTTTTATCTAAAATTTTAAGTTTGGTCATTTGTTTTTCCTTCCTAAAGTGAGCTGCATTTACTTTCAGGAAGAGGAATCCATGGAGCATTTATCAGCTCAAGAGTTGTTGAAAAGGCATATCAAGCGTGCGAAAAAAGTCAAAGCAGGGTAAGCATCTTCCATTGCATGGTCTGTTTCTCAAACAAAGTTTAGGTACCATTATGTGTGTGCAATTATATGTGTGCACGCGTGAAAGGCAACCTTGCTTAGAGCTCATTGCTTTGCACGATGGATTGTAGGAAATTCAAATAATGACTTAACGATAAATATATTTTTGTCACATAGGTTGAGGGAAGAACGGTTAAAACGAATTGCACGATACAAAACTAGGCTTGCTCTTCTCCTTCCTCCACTTGTCGAACAGTTTCGGAATGATGCTGCTTCTGGTAACTGATGCACATGGCATGGCATTATTATTAGAAATCATTAATGTTGGAGTAATACACCTGGCATCTATTCCATCTGTACATGATCCTGTAGCTGTTGGAGATAGAAGGCTTAAAAATGTTTGTGGTTGAGACAATGGGGAAAGTTTAGCCTTGGTTAAGTGTTCACATCACATAAAGCCTTGGCAAGTTTCATGGTGTCAGATTGCAGTAAAGAATTTACGTGTCCTGTGAAATGAAGCTGGAATCTAGGAATCTGATTATCGTTGTTGATATTCTCTAGAGATGTGAGTTGAGCATCCAAAGTGGATTAGCACAGCAGCCTCGGGGTGTATTAATTAAACTGTTCTTAAGAGCGCAGTGGTATTAGACTATTAGTGCTCGTTATTATACTCATCCTCCTTTTTTTTTTCCCCCTTCTTTTGATATTTTCGGTACGTAGAATGAGTATGCTTAATACCATCAGTAAACAACATAGTGACTGGAGTTACGCTCCCGAGTCTTCATCGTTTGGACATGCCTGACCCATTTTCTTCCATAGATATTGTGGTAATAGTACGTTAAAAACACAGCTCTGCGTGCAGACCTTGTTAAGGGACAACTGAGCGGATCAAAAACGCATTTCTGTCTGTATGCAGTTGTTGTTAAATTGATACAAATTATCATTCAACGCCATTTTGGTATGCTGTACACAATTTTTAGCTCAAAATATTTACTCTCTGACAAATAATCCCCTTTTTAACACCCCCCCCCCCCCCAAAAAAAAAAAAAAAAAAACCTATTAATTCCCTTTTACGAACCATGCACCAAACCCTTAAGCAATATCGAAGCATAATCAACTCAACTTTCATATCCACAAGCCTCAAGCTTATTAATTGTAGCTCCTTAAGGCCTAAACATCAACTCCTGAATACAAGAAGAGCTAATGAGCAATGTTCTAAAACCAAACTAAATTCTTCACTGACTATCCATCCAATATTTGCTTCAACTGTTTGGCAGATCTTACTGCCTTTGTTGCCAAATATGCAATTTAAGGAGGAACATATCCAAACGTTTTAGCACAGGAAACAGTATCTGGATCATCTTCCTTCCTTATTGTGTGTTGTATCAGTACAGTCGTCTCCTCCTATGCCCATGGGATTCTTCCTCGTCTAAATCTAAAACCGTGGAAGCATCGATCCTCCTTGATGAGGAAGCAGAATCGACTTCCATAGCACTATCTGTTATTTGGTTCTCAATGTGTACAAAATTAGACATTCTGCGCAAAGGAGTAGAATTGATTTCAGGAGCAACATCCAGAGTCTCAGTTTCCAAGTGAATTACAGACATAATGCTAGGAAATGAATCCCCACGGAAAACTCGTGAAGATTCTTGGTGGCTACTTCTCAAGTTTTGAAAGTTGATAAATTCCTCAAGGTCCTCAACTAGTCGCTCAGCAGAGTCCATTGCAGAGTTTAGTGCGGATGAAAGGGAAGAAAATGAAGCAGCTCCTTCCAGCAATAATCTTGAAACTTGAAGAGAATGCCGCTGCAGGTTTCCTTGCACCTCCATGCCAGATGAAATCAGAGAAGTACCAGTTCTTTCAGCTGTGACTTCTGCACCAGCAATATCTGGTGATTGACTTTGCTCTCCACTGGCACCAATCATGTTCCTGGAACGCCCAATTCCTTCCTCAATAGAAGACAATGATCTACGACTAATGATCCGCTGCCTTATGCCCTCGGTCCTATGTGCGGGTGGCCTGGGAGGGACTACCAAAGCAGACTCCTTTGACTTGGACTTGCAGGTGTTGTTATTGCCCCCATTGCCATAGATGGGAATAATGCTTGTGTCTGTCACCTCTCCTTCACATGCAGGGCATTCTTTCACATCAGAATGAGCATAAGATAACTGATAGTAGCATGCCCAACAGAATAGGTGACCACAACAGGTCAATATGGGGTCTATTGCCATGTCCAAGCATATATTGCAATCAAAAAACCCCCCGTTGTTTTTACCTTGATTCTGAACATCATTTTCCATACGCAAAGCTTCAGCAATCAAATGGGCACCTGTAAAAGCCCTTTTGCCAAAATTTTCCCTGTTGACAGATCCTTGTCTGGTACCAACTTCCCTATTGAAGAGGCAAGGTTGATGTTGAAGATGAGGTGGGATGGATGTGTTGGGTGTTGTCCATCTTTGATGTAGCCTAAACCTGGAGGTGATTGCTTCAAGTTGTCTTATACGATCTTCAATGCGGCCATGGGCAGTTTCTAATTCATTCAGTAAAGATCCTAATCCTGGTATGGCATCATCCTGAGATTCCAAGGGCTCTGGGTAAAAGTTGAGATCCATAATTTCATTGCTGAAATTATTTGCCATTAAAAATCACTCAAAACTTAAATAGCTTTCCTTGTCTATCTGCAAGTGCAAAAAGCAGGCAGTCTCTTTTATTAAAATTTGTTTGTTTTCCAAAATTGCTTTTAAGTGTATGAAATGAATACAGCAAAATTGGTGTTAGGAACTAACTAAATCCAAAAAAAAAAAAAGCAAAATTGAGACAACTAAACTAACTAACAAACAATTTTCATTATTGTTTCGTTTGGAAAAAGAAGAATAAAAAGAGCTCATCTGATCTAAATAGCTTTGCTTATCTAAATGATAACAGACTAAAGACTAAAGAGGGTGTGGTGTGGTGTCAGTTCATGTAATTGTAATTGTAATTGAGAGCAAGCAAGCGGTAAACCAAATACCGCCATTGATACAAGAATACGACATCTGACGATGGCCTTTCATAAAAGTTACTGGGATGAATGAACGAATGTACTAAGAAAAAAAAAAAAAAAGTTAGGGTTTTTGAAACCCTGAAATCTAATCTGTATTCTGATCGAATCTTGGGGTTAGATGAAGACAGTGATCAAATTAAAAGGAAAAAGACGAAGAAGAAAGAACCTGACTGACGATGCTGGTGCGGTGCGGTGCGTTGATCAAAATTGTTTTCTTTTCTCTCACCCACCCACCCACCCACGGGAAGAGAGCCAGGCGCCAAGCTCCGTTCAGGTCATATTTTCCATTCACCCATCCCCTTCTCATTCTGCCCCTTTCTCTATTTCTATTCCTCTCAGATGCTGATACAAGTCTACAACAAGAGAAGCCCACGGTGGCCCAAGTGGCCACCACAATATTGTTAGAGGCTTCTCACCTAAGGGTGTGGTCTGGGGTTCAATCCCCACCCCTTTCCCTTCCCCAAAAATTACTTATGTTCAAAAAAAAAAAAAAAGGTCTACAACACGACGTCGTATTTGTAGTTTCTTGCTACATGTTCCGGCAACACCCTGCTCCTTCTCCTACTTTATCACTCCCACACTTTATTCCAAATTAAACTAAAAATAGAGTAAATAAGCCCTTAATCTCTGCGAAACCATCATTATTAAAGACCCAACACATTTAACCTCACACCGTGTCTGTATCATAGTGGAAAAGGGGACCAAGCGAAGGAAAGGAGCAAACGATTTGGAAATAAGTAACAAAGTTTTGATGATCAACTTCACAACCTTTATTGCATTGGAAAGTTTTAATCCCAACACCAAATTGATTAGCAGCATACGCATAACTTCCAAGATAGTTAGTTAGGAGAAAGCATATCATTTTCATAATTTGCATCAATAAGTTGAACTTGCTAAATATACACACAAGTTTCTGGTTCTCATTTTACTGATGAGAGTAAACCTTTACAGTTCAACATTGCACATTATATCTACGAACAAACTGCCATGTGCAAACTGAAGTTACTGATTCTCACACTAACCAAAGGCTTTTCCAAACACCTAGCTTCAAGATACTTTACATAAAAAAGGGTCATTTCATTTGTAATAATGCATTCACTCCTTATTTTTGGATGAACGGTCCTTCCCCTGTCCACCAAGAATACGAGAAATCTGTAAACCTCTGCTGAACGCTTGGTTGAACAACATTCGAGTCTGGAATTCTGAAACAAAAGGGAACCAAGCCAAGAACGCAACTGGGGTGAATAGCAGTAGGCCCATCACTATTTCATAACCACGAGCAAGTGTCCTAACAGATCCCCAAAATCCAGCTCGTTGGATCACAGGCTTACAAGCTTGTGCAATCTGTGGCAAACAAATAAATGAAATAAATTCAACTAGAAACAACAAATTAATAAATCAATTTTGAGGAGAGTTGAATTGGAAAGGGAAAGGAACAACAAATGACTGATCCAAAGAGTAAGAAGCCAAACAAACAACCTAAGACCTATTCTTGCAACCCAAAAGAGATTTTCAATTGACTTTCTGTAAGGGAATATAAATAAAAGAACTGAAATGAAATACTAACCAGCAGCAATCCCCATCCAGTTGGCATGAAAGCAAGAACGCACACTATGATGTCTTTTGGTGTCATATGAGGCAAGGTTAACAGTACAAGGAAAATGGTAACAAATGTTGTGAATATGAGACCCTTGATCAATCGAAACAAAAGCTGAAAGTTTGCACTTAATCGTCGCCTTCCAACGGACACAGCCTGTATGAATTCAAGAAAATATTAACACATGCAAATATAGACATGATTGTAACACAAAAAACAGCAGCAGCCAACCAACCAAAGTTTTAGCATGTCTCTACGCTATAGTGTAATAAATCTCAACATGGAAGAAGAAGAGTATTACGCAACTTTGGATTCTAAACACTGTACTGCTATTAATGGTTCAGAAGCATACAAAACAACAACATTGCAACGATTTCTTTAACGATCTAGCTTTAAGGACAGTGAAAGGATTGACTTCTAATATCCAATTAAAGATTGCAGTAACTTATGTTTGACGTTGATGTTACAGCATCCTTTTTCCGAAGTAAAATGTTCACCAGACCACCAAAACAGTAAGGAATATCAAAATTGCTTAAATTCCATCACTCTGCCAAACTAAAGCACTGGAATTATTGTTAAGGCCTAAGCTCTTAACCACAATATAGGTACATTCCAGGAGTTGAATGAAGTACATGGTGAGAGTTTTGGAGTTTCTGTTACCTACCTTCACAATAAGCAATATTAGAACGATCACAAGCCAAGAGGCAACATACACCTGCAAAGGCACAGAGACACATTCAGCAATACCTTATAACTGGTTTAAGAGCATTATAAATATCACAAACATACTATACAAAACACTCAAGTAAGATGCAGTGACAACACGTACAAGAAAACTTTGGCTATTCTTGATAATGCTCAAGCGATATACAAGCCCATACTGATAGAGGAAAAAGCGCAGTGCTAGCAGTATCTCCACAATGATACCCAGCTTCCCCGAGTAACGTAGATGTTCTTGTTCCTTCTCCCACCAGGATTCCCAGCTCTTTTCTGGAGATACACCAATTCCCCCAAGATTGCTTATCCATTTATTCCAATCTGCCCAGTCATCCACAATCTTTTGCCACTCAAAGCCTGAGGGGTTGAAGAGAAAAGGAGCAAACAACCATGTACCCACCATAAACCACATTGATGTGATGATCAAAATATATGCAACAACACCCGTATATAAGTGACCAAATAAATGGTACACAAGTAGCAGAATCATCAATTCAATTCCCTTGACAAAATGGCTCCGCGAGTAAAACCTATAATTATCAGCGAACTTGGCATGGAATACTACAAATCCACGACCAGTTCCTCTGTATTCTGCTCCCCCATGAAGTAATGTCCTTCCATAATAATGGGTCCTAGTTCCTAGAGAAAAGGTAAAAAATACAGGGGCAAGTTGTAATTGCATCAAAATGAAATCAGTTAATGCACTACGGAAGCCCCTCTCTAAACCAATTTCCATCATCATGGGCAAAGCCATTAAGAATCCAATTTGCACGAAAGACTGAGAAGCTAGAGCTACTTGAAGAGGCTTATTATTTTCAACGAGTGTCTCAGAACGTAACCTTTCTTCCAATCCACTGAGAACAAGATAGAGCCGGCCATAAAGAAACACGTACATTGTGAGGACAGTTAACTGTCAAACCAAAATAAGTGTTTCAGTCTTTCATATATAATTGTAAAAGACCAATACTATATACTCCCACTAGGGGAAGAGGCTAAAGCTCGTACATACCAGGGTACTGAAATAGAAGCCAACAGTAGTGAAATAGCATGACAACATCCTGAAGAAATCAAATCTATGCCCAAGCCTATATATGTCCCGACTAAGTGTCTGCTCACCGTTCCCATTAGCTATTTTTGCCTCAAACATTGAAATTTGGTTGAGGCCTACATCTCTTCCTTTACCAACTTGTATATATTCATGAAGAGTGACACTGCCCTCACGTAAGGTAGAATTGAAACCTGCATACCATGCAGATATGGAAGAATCACCGGGAAAGCAATGCTGATATTTTGTCATTAAGAATTAACAGAGATATTGCCAACTACCTGCAAATATGTCCTCGCTTAAATTGATGACTTTAGATGCTTTGCTGACTCCCCCCCTAGTAAGGTGAAACAGTCTATCAAACACATCTGGATGACCATAATGGAAGCGAACTCTGAACCAGCAACAAAAAATTGAAAATTCAACGATGTAATCATTAATGTAAATCAGAAAACACAGATAAATGACATTGAAAAAACATCACGATGCTGACCTTTTGTTTAACTTAATAAAAGGAGGACACAAATGAAAAACATATTAAATAAAAATCAGATCGTTGTAATGAGTATGACCTTATCTCGTACTATTCTATAACATTATGAATTTACCTCAAAGGGTTAGCCAATACCCTTTGTCCAATTGTTACAAAACTAGTCTCCTGATTAGACATAAACCACGCAAGAGATGAAACACTGCAGTAGCAAACAATGACCCATGAAAAATGTCTTGTCAGAAGTTATAATTACAAATATGATTATAATCCACTTGAGTTAACCTCAAAAGTTAATTTACCTGCCAGTGAATATGTGCTCTCTCAGTCCAAGTATTGTTGGATAACGAACACCATCATGGTTCTTAAGAAATTCTTGCAGCAAGTTCCTCATTTTGAAAGCTTCTTCCATATAATTGTCCTATATTAACAGCAAGAGTTATGGTACAGCACACTATCTCTTAAAACTATGTCAGGGATACTTAAAATATTATAAGAGCCACAGTTATTTGCACTCCCTCAGTCCAATTATTGTTAGATTTTGAATACCTGGTTCATATCTATTGTCTGCAACCCCTCCCCACGTGTGAAAATAATAGCATGATTCTGATTTTCTGGTTTACCCTCACCAAGAATTGCAGGACCTGGAAGCTTTATTCGATAAATAACCTGTAGAAAGATATCCAACATAAC